ACATCCTAAATCCACTTACAGCCAACCACATTTTTAGTAGGGTCCCAAGGTACTAAATCCCAAGTCTTATTATTAATCAAAGCATTAATATATCAGGCATGGCAGCCCGCTAAATAAAACTCTTATTAGCTGGTGTATAACATGTAGGATCATCCGGTGGAGAGAAAACACTTCAGTTAAAATTAGTTTTTAGTTTGAAAATACCACCTGTTGCACGTGTAAGCATTGGATGGATATTAAGGACAACAAGTGGGGTCGGGAGCCTGATGCCGACGGGGACATGGAGGTACGTCTGCTGTCAATCGTGGGTGACAGTGGAGGAGTGGCTGATCGTGATTCGGGAGGGGTAACCCCCTGTTGGACGGGTGGAGAAGGAGTATTGGGTGTGTTCGGTGATGTGGCAGCGTGTGTGTCAGCTGGGGAAGGGAGAAGAGGAGCTGGACACGTGGCAGATGAGTTGGCCGTAAGACAGGGCCTGGGCGCCTGGGCGGAGGGGCAGGTAGGGCTGGTTGTTGTGGACGTGGGTGGGCCGAGGAAGATAACCAGGAAGATGTCATACTAAGAGCTGAAGAGCTAGGATCCAGCACTAAGGAAGAATATGGAAAACTATTTTCATGAAAAGTAACATCTCGGCTAACATATACCCTCCCCGTAGAAGGATATAGACACCTATATCCTTTATAACATATATTGTTTTTCCTGGGTGATTGGCTCCAAGGCTGGTTCGAGGGTCGGGGGTTGGAAGTGATCCTTTTATCTTCTTGTTCCCTTGCTGAATGCTTTGATATCAATTTATACCTTCTTGTTCCAAAAAAATAACAAGATTTAATGTTCCATACATTAGCTTTGAGCACAAGATTTAAGGGAAAATAGTAGGGGTAATGAATAGTATAAAAAAGTAGGAGAGAAGATGAAAAAGTAGGAAAGAGAGGATAAAAAGTAGAAAAAGTAAGGGTAATTTGGTATTTGTAAAGGAAAAAATTACCAGAAAGGAAAAGTGTATGGAACTTTTAAACACATCCCAAAATGGAAAGTGTATGGAACTTTAAAATATGGAGGGAGTATAATTTTTTCATGAATCGGTAGAATCAACCAATACAACCACTTCAGCCAGAACTTCATAAATTTCAGCAAAATCAGTCAATTCAGCCAATTTTAGTGTTACCAAACAGACTCATAGTGTTAGTCTTATACGTAATACTTTTATATGCAAATACAAATATACGTATACATTTTTTTTTTTTTAATTTTTCTGGAAAGTGTATATATTTAAGAGTCCCGTTTTACCATATTGGGATGTCCCTATTTAATTGCCCCATACCTTATTTGGTAAACTTTGTGTGACTCAAAATCATTCTTACTTTATTCTTACTTTATCAATTAATATCAACCACACAAACTCAATTTTCTTAAAACTCGTGCCACCATCTCTCGTCCCATTTAAAAGGGGACGGAGGGAGTATTAGTTAATTAATACTTTAATTACTTTAATAGACAACCAAACGAACGATTAATTAAAATAAAGAATAACACTGTTAAAAATAATACTGCCTCCGTTCTCCAATAGATGACTCTATAGCTTTTGACACAAGATTTAAGTAGAAATTAATTTAATAGGGATAATATAAAAGGGTGGTGAGTTGTGTTCAAATGAAAAAGTATGAAAAAGAATGAAAATGTATGAGAGAGAATGAGAGAATATAGATATATTTATTGAAAAAACTTTCTAAAAATAGAAAGAGAGACATGTATCGGAGAACATTTCTAAGTGGAAAGAGAGACAAGTATTGGGGAACAAATGAAGTAATTGATGTAAGAACGGAACCAAGCAAACTTTTATCATTTTCCCTTATTAAACTATATTTCCTAGTTCACAAATAATAAATGGATGTCATAAGTGTGTACATTAAACATTATACATTTAATATAATCGGACTTAAGGAGTGTTAGCAAATGTTTTTGCTTAAAAAACACTTTTTAAGTGATTTTGGAAAAAAATGATTAGTAGTTAAAGTTGATAATGTGTGAGAAAAATGTTATTTTGAAAAGTAAAAGTTAATAGTATTTGATAAAATAAGTGTTTTTGTGCAATAAAAAGGTAAAAACACTTACACAAAAGGTGAGAAACGTGTTTTTTAAGTAAAAGTTGTCACTTGAAAACACTAATTTTAACTTTTTTAGATTCGATAATTTTTTTTTAATCTATTGCAAACGCTCCCATAATGATTTAGAAAGATCCACACGAAATTGGTAGACCGGCTTGACATATGAGGCACATGTTTGATGAAACCTAAGCGAATCAAATTAAAGGTAGTTGACATTATTTAAATTTTACATGTTTAAGTCACGGAAACTTGCTAGCTAAGAAATACGTAGTATGCTATGAGATTGATGTTTAAGGAAAGGGGAAACACTCTCTTATCTTTCCGTTAAATATATGGAGCATGAAAACATGCTTATCATAGTGTGTATATATAGAGGACTGCTCATTCATATTATCAATTTTATTGTATAAATATATTGTCATTCAGAGTTTAACTTCTTTGACTTGAAAATTCAAATTAGTCTTAATAAAGGTCGAAGGTGGTATATAGTTTATTTCTATAATTTATAAGTTATGAATATGCTCGAGTCCAGATCGAACTGCACATGACTATGCTCGAATTCAGCTTGAATAACTATTCAAACTAAAAAAAATAACGGCCGCTTTTTTTTGTAAAAACAAACTATTTAAACTAAAAATTAGCCCGTGTTCGAGATTGAAGCTCATTAAGCTTTGGTCATTAAATTAAATTCGAAATCACGATCGAACTCGAGTAGTTCGAAAAAAAACTCAGTTCAATAACCATGAGTCCTAAGCTAAACCTTTTGTATGCAGTAACGAAAATTTTTACTACTTAGCCCACCCCACCCCTCATTCCTGGATCCGCCCCTGCACGCCCCCTCAGTCGGTCAGTCCCAACTAGACTGAACAATATCGGGTGTGTATAAATGGGTCAAACTGACGCTTAACAAACCATCCTTAATCATGAATGCTAAACAAACAGTGAAACCACAATCAAACCTGACTTTGATAATGTGTTAATACTCAAGTTTCTTTCCTAAAAGGTCAACCTGATAGGAGAAGTACTTCAAAGTTTTTTATATATAGTTTTCTGGTGTTTTATATTATTGTATTTTTTCTGTCCCATATCATAAAACAATAAAATAATAAAATATTGGATACTATTTTGAGTTACTTCTCTTATCAGGTTAACCTTTATGATGAGTGTCAGGTTTAACATGATATCAGAGTCAAGTTCAATTGTGGTTTAACGGGTTATTGAGCACTCGTAGCTGAAGATGTCTTGTTAAGGGTTTGTTTGACCCATTTAAGCCCTCCGGTATTGTCCATCTTGGTTCGGACTAAGGGGTGTTTTAAAGTATTTTTCCCAAATTTGAAATTATAAAATAATAAAATATTATATAAGACTTTGAGTTTCTCATCCCTTGTTAGATTGACATTTTAAGATAAAAATCAAGATCTTAACCGAATAAAATGATGACAATCCTATTATATAAATAATTACTCTTATATAGAGTCATTCTCCTTCATAATGTCAACAACGTTTTTGCTCCATACACATTTTATATTTAGCCTATCTTTGTATGTACACGAAAGTTCCCCATTTCATTTTGCATACACACGTATACCAAACCAAAGCATGCGCTGATGCGCCCACAGTTCTACACCTAACGATTTCTTTGTTTTCATAAACCGAGTCAATTTTTTTAAAATTATACATCGTACTAATAATATATTAATAAATACTCCGTAAATCACAACTTTTAATGATGTGTTTCGAATACACTTGTTTGACAGAGACTAAGGGAGTGTTTGCAATTGCTTCAACTTTAAAAAAGTGATTTTTTAAAGTGATTTTGAGAAAAGTGATTAATAGTAAAAGTTGGTAGTGTTTGAGAAAAAAGTGATTTTGAAAAAGTAAAAGTTGGTAGTGTTTGGTAAAATAAGTACTTTTTGTGTAATAGAAAAAGTGAAAAGCAGTTTAAAGCACCCTTCCACCTGCTTCCAGCTTTTAACTTTTAAGTGATTAATTTAAGCAGAAACTGTCATTTGAAAACACTCTTTTTAACTTTTTTAAAGTCAAAAGCTGAAAATCACTTTTTTTAAGCAACCGCAAACACTGCTTAATTGCCAAATGTCCTCGTTACCAGAAAAAAAGAAGAAAAATACACAAACTTTAATAAATATTTATACATCCCTACTGCACACGTTTAATAAATACACAATAATTTAGTAATACACGGAGTAAAATCAAACTTTCTAAATTTTAGTTTCAATTACATCATCGCGTTATGATAATACATAAACCTATAATTGAGTTGAAATCTATAATTTTAGTTCATTTTTAGCATTTAACTTGTAAGCAATATGCTTTATATCTAGTACTCCGTATGATATAAATTATCATTCAGTCCATCCTAGCTAATTCCAATTCTTAAAGGTATCGCTATTTATATTACTCTGGATTGTTTGTTAAAGCTCTATTATGTTTAAAATTGTATGGTTGAGATTATCTCACTCAAAAAGCAAAAACTATTTGAGATGAAAATCTATTTATTAGGTGAATATGTTACATTTCTAGGACGTACGTAATGTAATAACTTTTCCCTTTCGAAATGATTTGTAACTTATGAAAGTAATTTTTTCTTTCATATAATTAAATTTATTTTATTAACTAAAATTTACACATTCAAGAAACAATTTTGAAAACGCTTTAAAGTCGCAAAATACAAATTGAAATAAATAAAAATTAATAATCCAGATAAGTAAACAAAAAATTACATTTATCTAGGAAAGTAGACTTTACAGATCAAATTTTAAAGTTCCAGACTTCCAGTGATAGAATTTATTGAACACTCAATATTAAATTTGAAAATGAAGTACAATTATATTTAAAAAACACATTTATTCAATATCAAGGCGGCATGACCCGACCCATTAATTCGAAGCTTCGCCCGATTCGAGCAGTATATAAGCACTACGAAGGGTGTAGTGCTCCGAGTACAATTTCAAGAAAAGTGTGCATTTTCATTTCAATTCCAGTGCTGATAGCTGATCGAATCGAAGCGAATCGGAGCTCGTAGCTGAAGATGGCAGAGCACGAGGAACAATCGGTTCAACCCAGAGAATCCTTGTTAGATAAGATCTCTGAGAAGATTCACAGCGGTGGCAGTTCGTCGTCCTCCGATTCCGAATCTGAGAAAGGGCATGTGAAAGATCATGCGACTCGTTCATCTGCAAAGGCTAAGATTTGGCGTCTTTTCGGCCGAGAGAAGCCAGTTCACCATGTTTTTGGTGGAGGAAAACGTACGTTTTTTATACCTACAAGAACGCACACTTTTATATACATATATATGGATTGCGATGTGAATCTTGGTATATGTTACTAGTAGCTCTTTGTTACTTTTCAAAAAAACTATATATTTTTCATATGCCGGCAGTGGGTAAATGAGATTAGGGTTTAGGGGTTCCTAAAATTTTCGGATCCATCATTTCTGCTGCGATTTTCGTTTGAATATTGTAGCTGCACTGTTATGGAGCACCATCAGGTGTTTTGTGATTAAAAATCAGTATGGCGGTGGAACTGGGGTGGTGAGTTTCGGTGTTTTAAGTTTCTTAAAGTATGATAGATCTGTGTTTATTTTACCTTGTTTGAGTAACTGTTTGCAGTCTATGGTCTCTTTTTAAGTTGTGATGATTGATATCTTGAGCCCTGTTTGTTGCTGTGCTGCTGAATGGCTCATCTCAGGTTGCTATCTGTGCTGAGTTGCTAGCTATCTGAATACTGCTTGTTTTTTTTGCTTTTCCCTGTCCTGAAGATTATGACTAAGAGATAGCTTTCCACATATGTGATTGTGTAATTATTTAATCATTCCTGAGAAGAGAAAACAACGCTCTAATCTTGGCTCAGATCCTTAATAATGGGCTTCAAAGCCTGTGTAAATAATTTCTTAGTCCTTTGTGTTTCTAATGGTGTGTTATTTAATCCAAGCCCAGGGAATGTTAACCTTTTGAAAGACAAGTCATGTTTGATTGAGTTTCTTTTTTTCAAATTACAGCTGCTGATGTGTTTTTGTGGAGGAACAAGAAGATATCCGCAGCAGGCCTAGGTGGAGCTACTGCTATCTGGGTTCTGTTTGAACTGCTAGAGTACCACCTTTTAGCACTGGTCTGCCATGTTTTGATTGTTGCTCTTGCAGTCTCGTTCTTGTGGTCCTATGCATCCTCATTCATTAACAAGTTGGTTTCTATTACTAGCATACACAATTAGTTATATAGCTTGGTCGGTATTCGTTCCAAGTACTGAGCACATTGCAATTTTTCTCAGGTCTCCTCCACGCATTCCAGAACTCCACATTCCAAAGCAACCATTCATTGAGGTTGCTGACGCCGTGACTGTTGGAATCAACCACGGTTTGGGTTTACTGCGAGATATTGCATCTGGAAGAGATCTAAAGACATTTCTTGTTGTAAGTGTCTAGTTTTTCAATCTTGGCACATGAATTGACGTTCTATTCTAGATTGGGCTTCTTTTTGTTGTGATGGGGTTCTAAAGTTTATTTTGAACCACTTACATTATGTTTGGTGGGCTTTGGGAGAGGAAAATAAGTTTGAATTTTGTCTTATTAGTTCTTATTTCTTACTTCTTATTATTATCTATTGTGCTAGATTAACCGAAAAAAGAAATGAAAGTTGGTAAATTTGTATTTATTATTTTGACTTGTAGATTTTGAAGGGAGGTAAGGTTATGATGTTTGAATTGTTGGTTTTGAAGGGAGATATTGTTACAATCTTCTAAATATGAAAACTATAAAAAAAGTAGATTTAAAGGTTAACTTTTTAATGAATGTTCAATTATCCTTCCATTTAATCATCAAGGTAACATAAATTTCTGTCCATATTATACCTCTTGAGACATAGTAACTTAACTTCCTTCCCATATTACATCTTCTTATTTTGCTTCCTTTTTCATGAAGGATATTTAATCCATAGACAAGTAAGGCCACTTACAATACATATTTGAGAAATTGTCATTTCATCATTTTCATTTACCCCATTGCCGCAAAGGGGGTCAAATGTACGCAGTCTTACCCTTGTACTAAAGCACATAAAGCACATAGAGACTGTTTTTGGATGACCCTTTTAAGGATGGCAATGTTTGTAGTTTAGGATGGACTATTGGACTATTGTGGTTGTTCTCTTATAATATGTAACATGTTGAGTTTTTATTACATTTGTTTATTAAAAGCTATATTGTTTCTTTAAAAAACTAGGTAATTGCTGGGTTATGGATCCTCTCAATTGTTGGCAGTTGGTGCAATTTTCTGACATTGTTCTACATAAGTAAGTCCCTTGGATAACTGCGCTAATTTGTGACTTAAACACAGTACTAGATCTGTTGGCCATACTTAACCTAAATCTGTTGGCCATACTTAAACTGTGTAGCTCAGAACTAGAGCAAATTAGTTAATACTCAAGTTTTGGGCATTCTTACTAGGAAAGTGTGACAATGATTTTCCTTTTCCATGAAACAGTATTTGTACTGCTGCATACTGTCCCAGTCATATATGAGAAGTATGAAGATGAAATTGATTTACTTGCTGAGAAGGCAATGAAGGAATTGAAGAAGCAATATGCTGTATTTGATGAGAAAGTGTTGAGTAAAATTCCCAGAGGGCCATCGAAGGAGAAGAAGAAAGCATGAGCTTGTGGCTCGACAGAGAGAGGATATCCTGGATGATAATAGTTTCGTATGGCCTTTTTTCCAGCTTCTGATGTACTTCTGTAATGATTCCATGACTTGGTTATGTGTTCTTTGTTATATGGAAGCAACTGGGAGATTGCTGGATTAGCCTTTAGCTATTCTACTGGTGCAGTAACAGTGCTTATAAAAAAAGAGTTTTGTGTTTGTTTTGCTGAATGTGCGTAATTTGAATGGTTTTGTGTGGATGATATTTTTTAGGCTTTGTTTATACTGTCCTTCCTGTCCACATTTTGAACTGAAATTCAATCAAATTTAGGTGAAGACGTGAAGTTTGACTAAATCAAATATAATTAGCTGTCTGAAACGTTAACCATTTTAGTGTTTCGGTTCATAAGTTCATTCTTCTAATCGCTAGTCGTATCATATATTCATATTCTCATCAGAGTATCAGACGGAGTAATGGAGTATATTAAAATTGAGTCAATTTTACAAATTACAGTCTTTCGAATTATGGCTTGTTACGATTGAAACACGGAAAGTATCTTTGTTTTAACTAGACAATGCGATGCACGGTATATCTAGAGTATACTAGCATACTCCCTCCGTATTTAGAGCGTGTTTGGAATGAATTCTGCTTCTACTTCTTTTTTAAAGCAGAAGCAGAATCAAAATCAGTTTTCAGAAGCTGGTTTTCCTTAACTTCTAAAAAAATTCCTAGGAGTTAATTAGAGAACCGGAAGCACTTATGCACTTCCACTCAAACACTCCACTTCTGTTCAGGAGGAGAAACAGTTTTGAGAATTAGATCCAAACACATCCTTAAAAGTTCCCTACAATTTCTGATAGAGTATATGGGCCTGGACCCCATGGCCCGCATACTCAACGGCCCAAAAGACACCAGCGGAACACCCGCATCGCCCAGAGGCGCGTAGCGTCCAAGAGAGAAGGTATCGCCCGATTTTTATGGACCGCATCGTCCATGGACCGCGTCGTCCATGGACCGCGTCGTCCATGGACCGCATCGTCCATGGACCGCATCGTCCGGACTTCGTCCGGGCAGAATATATTTTCCTATTTTTTGTACTAAGTGTTGTACTCAGCCCATTAGTGGCCTTTATTCGCCCAAAGAAGGCATGATTATTGTAATGGGCCTCCTAAGCCCAAGGCTAGGGGCCCAAATCTACATCTTTTCCTATAAATAGACCCCAAGGGGCTAATTATAGGGGATTCTTTTCCAATTTGAGAAATATAATTACTCACTTTCTCTCTCTAGCTCTCGCTTCTCTCTAGAATTAATACTCTATCATTTGGTGCTTTCATTGAGAGCTTAGAACAGATCAAGTGAGTACCCTTCGTCGCTACCAGACACTACCACTAGCTATGACAAGGACTAGATCAAAGAACACTGGTAGGAATGCCCCTCTGAACCAGGAAGGGCAGGGAAACGTTGCTGACAACGTCCCCAATGACCTCATCAACCAGGATGAGATCGCTCAGGAGATCGAGCACGCGACGGCTGACCTTCGCGTCCAGCTCAACAAGACTGCCCCAGACGCCCGCATCGGGCTCGAGGACAAGCGCAATGCTGATCGCGCTTCGGGCCAGCAGACTTCTCACCCTGCTGCCCCCCAGATCAACCCGGCCGCACTATCGGCCATCGTCGCAAGCATTCTCCAGGACCCCAACGTCGTCAGCGCCCTCGTCGCAAAGACAGGGGAAAACAACACTCCCGTGACTGGAGAAGTCGCGACGGTGCCACCACCGCCGCCTCGGCCACAAGGCGTCACCTTCTTCGGTGACAACGAGGACGTCCTCGCCGTGGACACCCATTCCCACACTGCCTCTCCTACCCGGGATACACCGGCCCAACCTCGCGGAAAAATCTCAGCCTTCAACAGGCTGGGTGACATCGCGAGCCGTCGGGTACCTACGGGAGGGGTGGCGGGTCGGTTGGGTGGCCGCGAGCCGGGGTCGCCAAAGGAAAGCTTCGGGTCCGTTTCCCGGACAACGGATCGGCCCCGACCAGACAAAGGAAAGGGAAAACTGAATGATGATGATGCGCGTCATCAGATCAACCTGGCTCACGCGGCCCGGATCCAGACCCCGCTGGGTGGCGCTGCGGCCAACACGGACCCGAGGGACGAGATCATCGCCCGCCTGGAGAAGCGCCTCGCCGACATGGAGGCTCGAGAGGCCGCAGGGCGCGCATCGGCCCAGACATCCCAGCATCCCAACTACGACGCGCTCCTGAGCAAGGTCAGTGCTCTGGAAAGGGAGTTGGCTGACCGGCGCGATGAGCCCGTCATCCAGATACGGACCAGAACCCCCTTCTCTGCGAGGGTGCTCTCCGCTCCCATCCCAGAGAAGTATAAGGGGAACCCGATCAAGCCATATGACGGCCGCACTGATCCCCAGGAGCACTTCACCCGTTATCAGAACAATATGATGATGACCAACGCTTCGGAAGAGTACATGTGTCGCTGGTTCCTATCCACCTTGGAAGGACCAGCGTACGATTGGTTCAACAACCTTCCGGAGGGGAGCATCGACTCATGGCAGGACCTTGCTCAGCGCTTCCTCACCCACTTTGCCGGAAGGAAGCGTGCGAAGAAGCATTTCGCCCATCTCCTGACCATCAAACAACAACCGGAGGAGACGCTCCGGGCCTTCCTCGATCGCTGGACGAGGGAGGCGGACGAATGCGAAGGAGCCGATGAGCGCACCCTCCTGGCTTTTCTCCGCGGAGCACTCCGGCCCAGCCACTTCGCCCGGAGCCTGTTCACGGAGCCGCCGCGGTCATACCTCGCGGCGCTCCGACGCGGAGATAGGCACGCTGATGCCGACGAGCTCCTGAACCAGAAGAAGGGTGGGGAGAAGCAACAAAAGAAGGACTCCTCGTCCAACCCCCACCACCCACCGGCCAACAAGGGACAGCACCAGCCAAAGAAGGCACACCAGGAGCAAGGCGGACAGCGAAGAGAGGACCGCTCATGGCGTCCAAAGCTGGAAGCACAACGCATCCCCCTCACCCACCCGGTGAGCGTCATCCTTGACCACGCCGAGGCGCAGGGCCTCATTGTGAAGGATCCCAGGTCAGAGGAGGAGATATTTGCGGTCCACAAAGGAGGGACATACTGCAAGTACCACCGCCAGACATCCCACAAGACCGAGGATTGCACCACCTTGAAGAGGCACATCGACGGCCTCGTCCGACAGGGGGAACTTTCCCAATTTGTCAAGGGTGCCCCCAAGAGTAACACTTGGGTTAACCCTGGCAAAAGGGGGGAAGGATCCTCCGGGAAAAAGAGGGAGATCGGCGCCCTCAGTGAAGATGAGGACGAAGAAGAGCCCCGCCAGAAGAAACATCACATTCACATCATCGTCGGCGGGAACACAGGGGGGGACTCGGCTACCCAACGGAAAAAATGGGCTCAGTCCCTATACGTTGGTGAGGTGTCCCACGCCCCCCCTCAGCCGAAGCGACGGAACGTGGAGGCCATCACCTTCACCGACAAGGACCTCCCCTTCGGCCCCTTGCCCCACAGGGACGCCCTCGTCGTCAAATGCGAGATTGGCAACAACATCATCCATCGCAACTACATCGACACTGGCAGCTCCGTCAATGTAATGTACGTTGATACATTCAGACAGCTGAAGCTGAAGAAGACCGAGCTCCGGCCGATACGGACTCCGTTATCCGGCTTCACCGGGGACTCTATCGATGCCGAGGGCACGATAGTGCTTCCCGTTGTGGTCGGTGACGGTACCTATCAGGCAAAGATTGACATGGAGTTCGTGGTTGTCAACCTGGACAGCGCCCACAACATGATCTGGGGACGGCCGGCCTTGGAGGACCTTGAGGCCATCATCTCCATGAGGCATCTATGCCTCAAGTTCCCCACCAAGGACGGCGTCGGCTACGCCAGAGGAAATCAGAAGATAGCCAGGGCTTGCTACCTGAAGCTCACAAGGAAGATCAATGAGGCCGAGGAGCGGATAGACACCATCACCACCGCCTCGGCCGAAGAAGACACACCAAAGGCCGAACCGGTCGGAGACGTGGAAGATGTTCCGTTGGACGTCTCCCGGCCGGAACGCACGCTGAAGATTGGGACACAGCTCCCCCAACAGATTCGAAGGGACATCCTCTCTGTCCTGAGAGCGTACGCCGTCGTCTTCGCATGGGGACCAGAGGACATGCCGGGCATCAGCCCAAAGGTAATCACACATCGGCTATCGGTGAACCCGGCCTCCTCCCCCATCAAACAGAAGAAACGCTACCTCTCAGCTGACAGGAGGGAATTCGTCAAAACCGAAGTGGCCATGCTGCTCTCCATCAAACACATAGAAGAGGTGAAGTACCCCACGTGGTTGGCGAACGTCGTCCTCGCCCCAAAACCGCCTACGTTCAGAATGTGTGTTGATTACACTGACCTGAACAAGGCGTGTCCAATGGACCCATTCCCTCTCCCCAACATTGATCAGTTGGTGGACGAGACGGCGGGGTGCGAGTTGATGTCGTTCCTCGACGCGTTCAGAGGGTACCACCAGATATCCATGCATGAAGATGACGCGGAGAAGACTGCCTTCATGACCCCGGAGGGTATCTTTTGCTACCTCGTCATGGCCTTTGGGCTCAAAAACTCCGGCGCCACTTATACAAGAATGGTAGCCCGGATTTTTAGAACAGTCTTAGGCCGGACGATGGAAGCATACGTCGATGATATGATCGTCAAGAGCAGACAATCCACAGCCCATGCCGACGACCTCCGGGGCATCTTCGAGATCATGAAGAAATACAACCTCCGGCTCAACCCGAAGAAGTGCACCTTCGGCGTCCAGGGAGGTAAATTCCTGGGGTACCTGGTCAGCCGAAGGGGCATCGAGGTAAACCCGGAAAAAATACAAGCCATTATCAACATGGAGCCGCCCCGCAACATCAAAGAAGTGCAACGGCTGACGGGACGCCTTGCGGCCCTGAACCGTTTCCTTTCAAAGTCCGCGGAAAAATCGCTCCCCTTCTTTCAGATAATGAGGAAGGCCACCAGCTTCAAATGGACGACGGAGTGCCAACAAGCCTTTGAAGAACTGAAGCAATATCTCGCCTCCCCACCCATCCTATCCAAGCCCCAACCCGGCGAGACTCTCTTCCTTTACTTAGGAGTGAGCACGTCGGCCGTCAGCTCCATCCTCATCAGGGAGGATGACGGGGTACAAAAAGCTATATTCTACGTCAGCAAGACGTTGCGGGAGGCCGAGCTCAGGTACTCCCCTATTGAGAAGACGGTGCTGGCCATCGTCCACACAGTGAAGAAACTGGGCCACTATTTTCAAGCTCACCCCGTCCACGTCCTCACGCATCAGCCGTT